GTGGACCGTGTATCTCGTTCGTCTACCACCCCAAACTCAGCAGAGGCACTCCCGATTCAGGAAATGATGCTGGACCACAACCTGATCGACCCCCAAAGGCTTCTTTATCCAAATGAGAGAACCTTCACCTTAGTCAAGAAAAATCATGCCAATCATACGRCCTTCTCTYGAATAGAYTATTTTTTAGTGTCCGAAGTCATGATGRGAGCAGTCAAGGAAGYTAAAGTCCTACCGCTTGCCCCTTATCAAGAACTGTCTCACAAGCCAATTGAGCTAATAATCTGCTTTGACCAAATGGTCAGAAAGGGAGCYAGCTTCCACAAGCTTAACAATTCTCTCCTGCTGAGCCAKTCCTTCCAAAGTGAAGTGTGTAACTGCTGGGAAGGTCTAAGGTCGRCACGCCTAAGCACTGAGCCTCGATGGGATTGGTTTCAAAAGAGCTACTCRACCCTCTYAGATAYAGTGGCCAAACTWTCTAGAAAACTTGCGTYGATAAGGAAACAAAGAAAGCAAGCMCTAGAATTCGCGCTGARAACAGCAGAAGCTAACCTGGTGAACAACCCCGCCTCCCTGTTGTAMAGAGAGATTTTCGACAAAGCACRAGAAGAATTGGCCATGTGGAAATGGTGGGACCTGAAAGGTCTTCAAWTAAGAGCAAGAATGTGCGAATTTGAGCTCARYGACTCAATGACAAAACATTTYTTTGCCCRGATCAAAGCCAACTCAAGAGCCARCACGATTGAAGGCCTAAGGTCACACGCAGTTCCAGATACTGTGAGATCAGACAGCGAAGGAATGTTAGAAATAGCAAACACTTTCTACAAGGAACTCTACCACTCTAAGACAGGGTCACCAATACCCTCCAACGTTAAAGAAGCAAGGCAGAAAATGTTACATTACTTAGAGCGAACAATATCATCAGAGCAGGCTGAATTACTCGACAAACCATTCTCTTCAGAAGAACTTCACCAGGCGCTACGAAGTATGAACAATAATAAAACTCCAGGAATTGATGGGTTAACAAAAGAGTTCTGGGAAAAATTTTGGCCCTTGCTAGGAAGTGACCTGCAAAACTTTTATAATGACAGCTGGTCTAAGAGAGGGCTGGGCAATCTACTCAGCAGCAGCGTAGTCACGCTACTCTACAAAAAGGGCGAGAAAAACAACATCAAGAACTACAGGCCTATTTCACTTCTGACCCTCCCATACAAGATCCTAGCTAAGACCCTGTCCAACCGGATTACTAAGATCACCAACAAATGCTTCCACATCGACCACAAACAGAATTCATCCCAAGCCGTTATATTCTAGACAATGTTATGACACTGAATGAGTCAGTAAGAAAAATCAGGGAAAGGAAAATAAACACCGCCATTCTCTTCTTTGATTTCGAAAAGGCTTATGATCAAGTTAATTGGGACTTCATGGAAGCAAGCATGGAAAGAATGGGAGTTGGACCAAACTTCAAAAAATGGGTTAGGATACTATACAAAGATGCAGTAGGTTGTGTCCAAGTGAATGGGTTACTGTCAGATTGCTATCCGATTTCCCGTTCGGTCCGTCAAGGGGACCCGTTGGCCCCATCAATCTTTCTATTCGTAATGGAGGCTATCGCATCCTTCCTGCGCAAAGATCCATCAATTCAAAGACTAGCTAGTACCGATGTAGGCTCAACCCACCAGATGGATTTTCCCACAGCTATCATGTTCGCAGATGATCTAACGGTCCTAATCAGAGCGTCAGACTCTTCCTTCATAACACTAGCTAAGGCAATGGAGGCATTCAGACTAGCCTCAAAGATGAGGATCAACTGGGGGAAAACAATCGGCTGGTGGCTTTCCGAAGATGAGCCCCTTTCATTACAAGGAGATGAGGCGGCTATGACATGGCAAACGCCGGACACACCCACTCGCTATCTGGGCATTCTAATGACAAAAGAAGGACTAGCACCCCAAATGGGCCCCTCCATGTTGGCCAAACAGATCAATAAAATTGGAAGGTGGGGCAATACCTTCACTTCCCTTATTGGTCGAGCGTTGGTCCTCAACACATCAGTCTTTTCAATGATGTGGTACATAGCTTCCATTTGGACAATCGCCGACAACTCGGTTAAGGAACTGAACCGAAAAGCCAGATATTACCTGTGGACGGGTGACCCCAACAGAGACAAGTGCATATCCAAGATAGCCTGGCATTTTGTCACAAGGAGCCCACGAAATGGAGGCCTAGGAATTATTGACCCCGGAACAGAAACCAAAGCGCTGCAAATCAAATGGATCATCAAACTACTGATGAAACCGAACAGCCCCTGGAACAAATTAGCTCTAAACAGTATCAGAGCCATAGCCCCAGTAACCTCTCCGAATGACATGTCAGGCCTCTTTTGGGTAATGAATAAAGAATGGGTGATAACTACAGGACGAAGGAATCGAACAAGGAATAGTAGATCAGAGGACTATCGTCCGCCCACGCCTTACTGGCCGGCTCTGCTTCGTTCGTGGAGAAAAATAATTCCTAACAAGACAAAGAGACCTAAATCCAAGGACGAAAAACTAAGGCAACTGCTCTTCGGTAATGAATGGTTAACAAACGAGGCTGACAACCCACTCTTCCTTAAACAAAGATGGATGTCTTGGGTCAAGAATGGCATCTGGAAAGTAGATCACTTGTTGAAAGAGGACAGAAAAGACTGGATAACGGAACAAGAAATTAGTGCCCGACTGAAAGGTTGTCATAGACGAGGGATCAATCTCCAATATATTCTTAGTCGTATTCCACAGGAGTGGAAAGACATCCTAGTAAAAGACGAACCCTGGAGTCCGGGCGATTGGGGTCTGATGATTCAAGACTTAACCCCCACTAGAGCCTATCAATTCTCCCATATGCAGCAAGGCTCACACACCAGTGCTACTTTCCTCTCCTTCCCGATCTCCTACACCAATACGGATACGCCAGCTATCTGGAACTGCGATGTAGAATCATCTGTATTAGACTCCTTCCTCCTCAGAAAAGTAAGAGTCCTAGGCACATGGCCAAAATCAATCTTCAGACCGGACACTGCTATCCGGTTCTTGGAGTTCGACCCTGCCGAATGGGCATGGAAGCCAAATATTACCAGTAACATCAAGACAAAAATCCCAATCCAGGATTATACAGTTAAACTTGGTTATAGACTGTCTCTGAAGACTAAAAACCCAGACCCCATTATCAAAAACAGATGGCGGAACCTCTTGGGACAGGAAGCAGACAAAATTACACAAATCCACTGGGAAAAATTCAAGCGTATCCGACCAGTTAAGATCAGAAGCTTATCCTAACAGTTCGGAGCTATGTACAGTCTGTACCGAAGGCGTGGTAGAAGATATAGTTCACTGTCTGGTGCTCTGCAAAGAGGCGCCCGAATACTGGGCCAGAGCTTCTTCACTTTGGGATTCCCTCTTCTCATCCCCCTTCCCTGAACAACCCACCCAACTGCTCCTCTTGACTAACATCCCTGATATGGCACGAAAGGCAGAGAGGATTTCGTTCGAACTCATCAGGAAAGTGACCCTATGGATCATATGGAAAGAGAGATGCAGCAGATCAATTGAAGGGCGGTCCAATCCACGGGAGAAGGTGTGGATAGAAATCAGAACAATGATTCAAGCTGAGATTCTTTGCAGATGGTGGAAAGTCAGACAAGCCTGGACAGAGGACGAAGAACAGCGAAAGAAGGAAAGACTGATTTTCCACAGGAGCTGGTTGATAGACGGCAAGATTGCTGAGATACGAGAGGACTGCATTTGCTGGAAAGAGTGGCATAATTCAATCCCGGAAAAGGGTCCTCAAGACAGCACAATCACATCTTGAGACTCTACGGAGGAGGGCAGTTCCACAGGAGCTCGGACGGTAGGGACTGAAGAGAGATGATAGGGTGAGAAAATACGAGGAAGAGGAAGTCAGGACTACAGCCCAGGACAGGTTCTTATAATGGCCTCGGGAGATGGAACAGCAGCTGACAACACAGGAGTGGAAACGCGGCATAGGCCTAAAAAGAATACGGCCTGCATGAATATTAATGGGGGCCTCAGAGCAGGATCCTATAGCGAAGGACTGCCAATAAATGAAGTCTCGTCAACTCCCACTTTCGTTTTGGTGATCAACGTGCAAGGACACCTAGTCCAAGAAACAGGAGTACGGGAGCAAGTTCGACCCAAACGATTGGGGAAAAGGGGCATGCTGTCTAAGGGTTTAGGGTTTAAGGTGGTAACGGGGTGTACCAATGGAGGAAGGACTGATAAAATGGATCACGAGCAGGACATTGTAAGGGGACAGACACAGGTCGACAGGGACAATGATTGAGCTCTTTCTAGGGGACATATCATTATCTGGCAGATCTGCCAGCCAGGTCTGAGAGGAAAGAGAGGGTCAGGGCAAGCTGACAGTCAATCCTCCACTGAGGTGGAGCAATCAATACTGCTCAGGGGTCCTTCGGCCTGAGCGGAAGGAAGCGTGTGTGTGTTCTGTCTCATGTATATTTTGACTTGCCGGTGGAATAGGAACCGGACTGACGCTCCCCAGAATAGAAGGAGCCAGGACCATAAGGCCCTGTTTTGTTCAAAAAAAAAAAAAAAAAAAAAAAGTTTCGCATTATGAATCTAGTAGGATCATAACAAATCACTGTTTGGTCATTTGATGTTGGGTGAAACGGGAAAGTGTTTTGGCAGATTCCAGTTATGGAAGGGAAAGAGCAATAGCTGCATGGATCCATATGAACACACCATCATTTTGCTGTCTGCCTTTTCCATTATGGGTTGTGTGGATGGGCAGCCTGGTATACAAGTTTCGGCACTATTTCACCACGGGCTTTGCCGAGGACGAGCAATTATCAATACAGAGAGTTTTTGATTAACAGTGATGATGACAAAGTAAGTTTGGAATTGAGTGCAAACGTAACAACGATGTGATTTTCCATAAAGAGATAAGCCGCCATGCCCCAGTATTCCAGATGTAAAACTCACTTGGGCCCTTCTCCACTGTCGTCTCTTCATGGCAGCCTCTGCAAGCACAAGAAGCTCCCGCTCTTCTTCCATCATTAGAGCAAGCATTTCGTCCACATCATTATATGAAAGTCGATAAGTGGGTCTGATGCTGGCATTCATCACAGTTGACTCAGCAATGCTGCAACCACCTCGTCGACCAACAAGAAAAAGCAACAGAGGAGGAGAAAGGAGGAGGCAGGAAGAGGACACGGAAGGGCAGAGGAAGGTAACCACCACCACCAGCAGCAAGCCAGCCAATATAGGTCATGTGCACAGAAGGGGGTGGCATACTCTCACACACACACAAAAAAAAAGAAAACAGCAAGAAACACCTTTTGGCTTATCTTCCTTATCCTTGCATCTGCTGTGTTTTCATCTTCACAAATCGGGCACATCCTACACATGTGCCCTCAAAAGAGCTGTGCAAGCGCAATGTAAGGACCTCGGGACTGTAATTTCATGTAGTATGAACACAATTGCAAATGTTCACGTTTCACGTTTAGTCGATTCCACTTTGCACAAATGCACTTTTACTCAAAACAAGACCACCTTCACGCAGTGAAACCACACTTCCCATTTATTTTCAGAAGATCCTGATTTCCCACCTTAATTACTTCAAACTTTATGCATGGACCGTACTCAAGATTCAAACCAAGCCATCAAGATTCACGTGATATGAGCACGCTCAGAACTTCTTTACAACTTGGAATGATGTACACATGTTCTCAAGCTTGCAGCTATGGCCGCCCACAGAACAACAACTAGCAGATCTCTCTCTCTCTCTCTCTCTCTCTCTCTCTCTCTCTCTCTCTCTCTCTCTCTCTCTCTCTCTCTCTCTCTCTCTCTCTCT